ATAATAACGCCTAGAAATTTAGCTTCTTGAACTCTTTTAATAACTACATTATTTAAAGTTAGTATGTTCTCGTCATTTTCTACTTCCTCTTTGGCCCGTGAGGGTTTAAAATGAATAAAACAACATTTCTTATAATGTTAATATGTAATAAGTTTAGTTTCATATACTTGTACACAAATGATAGAACTTCATTTCCTTTTTCGTATAGTCTTTTGACACATGTGTCTTCTATAAATATGTTAGTGTCGTCGGCAAATAGTATAAACTTTCCTATAATTGATGAGTTACGGATGTCATTAATATAAATAATAAAAAGTAAGGGACCAAGACAGCTCCCCTGCGGCACTCCATAGACTACTGGAAGTTTCTCGGATTCTTCACCTAATACCGAGACATACTGGTATCTGTTCGACAGGTAACTTGCTATAAGGTTATTTGCATTTCCACGGATTCCATAATTTTCTAACTTATGCAGTAACTTTTCATGTGATATTGTATCAAAGGCTTTACTAAGATCAATAAATATTCCAAGAACGTGTTGTTTTTTCTTGAGGCAAGATTCTACGTGGTTCACTGAGTAATTTAGGGCATAACTGGTCGAGTGATTTTTACGGAATCCGTACTGGTTTTCATATAAGGAGTTCTGTGAATGAAAGAAGCTGTATAATCTATTGAATATAATCTTTTCAAATATTTTACCAAACACAGCTAGCGTTGATACAGGTCTATAGTTTTCAAGGAGTTCCTGGTTATCTTTCTTGTAAATGGGACTAATCCTTCCAACTTTAAGGTCATCTGGAAATATGCCATCTTTCATACATTCGTTATACAGTACAGTGAGTAAAGGAGTAACTATTTTAGAGGACTGCTTAATTACATGAATCGGTATGTCACTTGCCTTGCCATTTTTAAGTTCAGATATGATTTTGCTAACCTCGTCTGTTGTGCAGTCATGCATGTAAATGCTGGAAGTGTTTGAAAGCGGTAGATAATCATAGAAACTAGGTATACTGTTTATGTTAATTTGTCCAAGATCATTGTAAGCGGTATTTAGGTCAGAGGCTAATGATACAAAATATTTATTGAATTCGTTTGCTATGATCCGTCTATTTGTTATCTTAACGTTGTCTATGGTGAACAGCGGCTTTATTTCACGCCGCCGTTTACCTCTTATACGATTTATTAGTTCCCAGGTCTTTTTACTATCACCGCTATTTTCAGCAAATTTACCAGAGAAGTATTCTGTTTTCACAGTTTGACGTGTTTTCTTTAGGACTTTTCTGTATTCTTTGTAGATAAGGTAGCGACTACGTTTTAGTGAGCATTCAGGGCACTGGCAAATGCCGCCCTTGTTATCAGTTTCCCCGAGTTTACATTTTCTATTTCTTATCTCAACCCAATTTTCGTACAGTTTATGCTGATTATTAATTGAGCAAATGAGACCGGGAGTTATCCAAGGGTTAACCTGAACAGTTCTCTTAGAGGTTTTCGGGGTCTCTAATTTAAACGATTTTTCGACGCAGTTTTTGTAAGTGTCATGGAATTCAGTAAAGTTATGGATTGTTTTAGTTTTAAGCTCATCTTCAAGATCCACTAGGAAGCCGTTAACATTTGATTGACAGAAGTCGTAATATTGTTTAAAAGAAGTTTTTTCAGAGTTGACTTCAACATTCCAGTTAAATGTGTTAAAAATAGGTGAGTGATGAGTTATTCGTTCTTTTAGGGTGCCTGAAGTAATCACATTCTCAATATCGTTAGTAATAATGTTATCTATGCAGGATGCTTTACAGCCTGGTTTTTCGTGGGTAACAATAGATATTAACGGACAAAATCCTTTACTGAATAATATTTCTTCATATTTTTGAACATTTTTGTTATCTTTATCATGAAGATCGATATTAAAGTCTCCAGCTAGATAACTAAACTTCGGCATGTGATCAAGAAGGTTAGAAAGTTCAACTAGAGCTTGGGAAATACAGCCACTTGGTGGACGATACAAAACACCTACATTAACAGGTTGATCTTCGTTACTTAATGATAAGACAAGTATTTCTAGATGTTCTGTGACTTGTGATATATTCTCAATTACAGTAGCATTTAATTTATCGTCAACATAAAGGGCTACTCCAGTGCCCTTTTGTTTGTTAGGTGCTGTGTCCTGATAGTAACTATTATAACCGTCGAGCTGAAATAGATTGCTTAATTCTTTTCCAGTGTTGGTTTCAGCTAGGGCTATTACGGAGAATTTTGTTTTGTACCTACAGGTTTCAATGGCAAGGTTGTCAAAATTTGATTTATTTCCATCAATATTTTGAAAGAGAATAGATGATTGTTTCTTTACTTGGTTGCAGAGAATATTTGTAAGGTCAGATGCAGTGTATGAGTTACAATCATTTAAAGTATTTGAGATTTTGGTTGTGTATTCGTCTAGGTTGTTGTCGTCGTCGTCATTGTCAGTGAGTAGTTTAAATGGGTTGTATTTAACCTTGTCTAAATGGATACAACGAGTACAGTAAAACTCATTAGATTGGCTATTTGGATTTGATTTGCGATAGCATTTATGGTGCATTATGCAGTCACAGTGAAAACATTCAACTATTGTTTGGCCGATGACTATGTTCTTAGAACAGACAGGACATACCTCCTTAATGAGGGGAGTCATGGTTGGTAACCATCCACGTGACCCTGACTAGCAGCAGCAGGAACAACAGGACCAGTTTCTCTTCCAGCAGTCGCATCCCTGTAGGATCTATCGTCTACCCTTGTGGACCTCCTCTTCCTTTTGTCGATACCACCGTTAATCCTGAGAAGAACAGTGTTACGAATAAATTGTTCTAACTTTGCTAGTCCCCTCCAGTTGAGGTGAAGGAAGTCCGGTTTTTGGTATTTGTTGAGGTCGCGAGAGAGAGAGCGGTCAAGGAGACCATCCCTATCACAGAACTCATCAAATCCATCCACATAACTGACACCAAAATTGGACGGGAGCAGCCTACATCGAATCAAACTGTTAAAGTATATAAGCTTTCTATTTAAATCAGCACGTTTAGAAGGAATTGTTGGACAAACATATACATGCACACCCGGATTAATAGATTGAATCTGGGCAATTTTTGAAACTAGATGGTTGTAGATTATATCAATATCGTTTTGGCTTTTTACATCTGTTTGTTTCAGGTCATTAACCCCACACAATATAACACAGTTTCTATAGCCACAGGACACATAAGGATCAATGCTATCGACAGTTGGGGCAAAGAATCGTTTTCCAGGAAGCCATTTGCCGAATGACTTGGCAGGATCAGAACCGAATTTCAGTCCGCCGGTGTTCGAGTCCCCAATGATACATGTAGCGTTTCTATTCAGGGAACTGACTGATCTCAATGTTATACTGTAGCGCAGCCCAGTTATCTCGCCTGCATCGATACGATGGTGGAACAGTGCTTGGCTACGACGAGTCATTACATATAATGATCCTGGGCCACATAGTTGCTTGTGCTCATCAATACCTGTACTAGCATCAGAGAAAGAAACATGACATGCAGTACCAAGAGAGACTGTAAAGATACTTGATTCCGGGTGGATAGAAGGCTCGTTATCAGAGTGTCTAGGCAAGGTGCTGCTTGTGCCGTCAAACCGATTCACCAAACAGCTGTTAACCTGAGGTTGGTCACCTGAACAAAACTCACTGTTGATTCTGTCGATGAGTTTTCTCAAGGGTGGTGGTATTGCCTTTGGTGTCTTGGACGACTTAGATCCAGGATAATCGTACCGTTCCCCATATGATAGGCAGGAGCGTTCGTTTTCAATTTTGAAGTCTGTGCTGCTCAAATCAAATAGGTCAACTAGTTCTTCCGCAGTCTTCTGATCTATAAAATCGTTTTTGAACAGTTCCACAGGTTTCTGCTCATGATGAGGTGGCTGCAAAAGGACAGGTGGTGCTGGAGGACGAGGATGCTGTGCAGGAGGTAGGTTGGGAGGAATGCAAGGACCAGGGTTATGCAATGGCTGTATAGAACTTATAGACTGTTTTAGTTCAGCAATGCCTGCAGCTACAGTGGGCTCATTTGCAGAAAGTGCGGTGAGTTGTTCTGAGATGCTCTTCAGAAACTGCTCAGATGAGTCTGTAGATGGGGATGATTCAGGGGAAGGTCTAGATGCTAAAAGTTTAAGGTCCCTCTGTAGTTCAGCAATGTTGGTATTTATTGATTCTAATGATTTGTCATGGAGCTTTATTTCATTATTTAGGCCATTAAGGGAGTTCTCTTTAAGAAGCAGGTGTTGAAGGTGAACGTCGAACTGGGAGAGAGTGTCAAGGTTCCTAGAGAACTGTTCGAAGTCAAATTTTTCAAGAGCTGAGCCTGCTGAGCTTGCTGATGCCACAAGTGCACTGACAGTTTCAAGATTCTTAACAGCTGTAGATGCTTCAAAATCTGAGTTGGCCTGTTGCAAAGCCCTTGTGTTCCTGCAGCTGTAACAAAATTCGTCTCTCTGTTTCTTCAGTGTTGATACTGGTGCCACGAAGCAGTATGGGCACAGCCATTCTACCATGGAGTTGATAGCTGACCTCGTTATACCTTTCATAGACAGGCAGTCCACATGCCACTCTTGATGACACTTAGAACAGTCAATGAGGTAAACTTTACCGTTAAAAGAGCGTTGACATGGACATTTCTTCTTGTCCCTATGTTTCCTGTTTACCTGATCTTCATTGTCCACTGTAGATTCGGCTAAAATGTTGCGAGACAAGCTATTAGATGTTTTAGGAGTACCTGAAGTCTTCCTAGAATTTGACGCCATTTTCAAATCAAATGAAAGTAATACTGACCAAATAGATCCGACTTGGGGTCGGCTCCCGTTAAGTGTTTTGTTTTGGAGGAGATTAGGACTTCAGAGTTGATGACCCTAGTAAAGTGTAGATGACCCTAATAGAGTGTAGAATGTAGATGACCCTTAGCTTAGTACGCCCCTTCGGGGGAGTTGTAACATACCATTCCTGAACACTCAAATTATTTGTTATATAGTAGTGTTGAAAGTATTAAAACTTTAGGTATTTGCTTAGCTGTGGAATGAAAAAAGGCCCACTTTTGAGTTCATAAAAAGGCCCAAAATGGACATTTTGTAACATCTTGTTTTCATGATATCTTTATAGTTTGTTACAACCACAGCTAGTGTAGGATATGTATTTAACTCTAAAACCAGGTTATTAGTGCAGCAATTCTTGTATAAATGCATTACCACAATATTGGTATATGGTTCATAATCAATAAAAGGCCCATTTCTTTGAATAACGTAACATGGTTACAAATGAGTATGTTATACAGAGTTGTTTGATCTAGTATTGATTTTAAGTTGGTTGATGCATTATAATAAAGACATGAAACAACTTAACAAATTTAAAAAATGATAATTGGGACCAAATTATTGAATTTTGTAACAATTTAAATGTAATGTAATTTAAATTTACGACAGAACGCGGTAAATTTAATCAAATGAATACAGCTAATTAGATTAAAGGTTGGATATTTAAAAACGTTTAATTTACATATCAAATTGTATAGAAAATAGAAATTGGGCCCTATATATTGAAATTTGTAACAATAAAATGTCAGGTCAATGCTTGACCGGAACATTAAAACGTTACAAAACTCAATGTTTTGGGCCCAAGTACAAAGTATGGTCAATAATATGGGGGGGGGGTGTCACGTCCGTCTATGTCCGCTTGTCTCATAGAATCCAAAAAGGACAGGACATAGGCGGACATAGGCGGACATAGACGGACATAGGCGGACATAGGCGGACATAGGCAGACATAGACGGACATAGACGGACATAGGCGGACATAGGCGGACATTAATGGACATTAATGGACACCTAAATTGCTAAATAAAATGTTCAATTTTTGCTGTTATAGGGGGATCATGTTTTTTGTCCGTTCGGTACCCTATATTTTCAAAACGGACAAAAAATAGAGCGGACAAAAACGGACAAAAATGGACAAAAATGGAAATAACATTTAGATGCTACCTCCTCCTACTCTTCCTCCTCCCCCTGGGTCTTCCTGATCTTCCTCAGTCCTCTTCCTCCTCCCCTCCTCAGTTCTCCTCCTACTCCTCCTCCTCGTCCTCAGTCCTCCTCATCAGTCCTCAACAGTCCTCCTCCTCTCCAGTCCTCCTCCTCCTCCTGCGTCCTCCTCCTGGGTCCTCCTCCTGGGTCCTCCTCCTCCTCTTCATCCTCCTCCTCTTCCTCCTCAGTCCTCAGTCCTCCTCCTCATCCTTCTCCTCAGTCCTCCATCCTCCTCCTCAGTCCTCCCCCAGTCCCCCTCCTCCTCCTATTCAGTCCTCCTCCTCCTCCTCCTCCTTCTCAGTCCTCCTCCTCTTCCCTCTCAGTCATCCTCCTCAGCCATCCTCCTCAGTCCTCCTCAGTCCTCCTCAGTCCTCCTCCTCAGTCCTCCTCCTCCTGGGTCCTCCTCCTCCTCCTCTTCATCCTCCTCCTCTTCCTCCTCGGTCCTCAGTCCTCCTCCTCCTGGGTCCTCCTCCTCATCCTTCTCATCAGTCCTCCTCCTCCACAGTCCTCTCCCAGTCCCCCTCCTTCTCCTCCTCCTATTCAGTCCTCCTCCTCCTCCTCCTCAGTTCTCCTCAGTCCTCCTTCTCATTTCTCCTAAGTCCTCCTCCTGAGTCCTCCTCCTGAGTCCTCCTCCTCTTCCTTCTGAGTCCTCCTCCTGAGTCCTCCTCCTCCTCCCTCTCAGTCATCCTCCTCAGTCATCCTCCTCAGCCATCCTCCCCAGCCATCCTCCTCAGCCATCCTCCTCAGTACTCCTCAGTCCTCCTCCTTCTCAGTCATCGTCAGTCCTCCTCCTCAGTCCTCCTCAGTCCTCCTCCTCCTCCTGGGTCCTCCTCCTCCTCCTCCTCCTGGGTCCTCCTGGGTCTTCCTGATCCTCCCCAGTCCTCTTCCTCCTCCCCTCCTCAGTCCTCCTCCTACTCTTCCTCCTCGTCCTCAGTCCTCCTCATTAGTCCTCAACAGTTCTCCTCCTCCCCAGTCCTCCTCCTCCTCCTGGGGCCTTTTCCTGGGTCCTCCTCCTGGGTCCTCGTCCTCCTGGGTCCTCCTCCTCCTGGGCCCTCCTTCTCCTGGGTCCTCCTTCTCCTCCTCAGTCCTTCTCCTCCTCCTCCTCAGTCCTCCTGCTGTTATAGGGGGATCATGTTTTTTGTCCGTTCGGTACCCTATATTTTCAAAACGGACAAAAAATAGAGCGGACAAAAACGGACAAAAATGGACAAAAACGGACAAAAATGGAAATAACATTTAGATGCTACCTCCTCCTACTCTTTCTCCTCCTCCCCCTGGGTCTTCCTGATCTTCCTCAGTCCTCTTCCTCCTCCCCTCCTCAGTCCTCCTCCTACTCCTCCTCCTCGTCCTCAGTCCTCCTCATCAGTCCTCAACAGTCCTCCTCCTCTCCAGTCCTCCTCCTCCTCCTGCGTCCTCCTCCTGGGTCCTCCTCCTGGGTCCTCCTCCTCCTCTTCATCCTCCTCCTCTTCCTCCTCAGTCCTCAGTCCTCCTCCTCATCCTTCTCCTCAGTCCTCCATCCTCCTCCTCAGTCCTCCCCCAGTCCCCCTCCTCCTCCTATTCAGTCCTCCTCCTCCTCCTCCTCCTCCTTCTCAGTCCTCCTCCTCTTCCCTCTCAGTCATCCTCCTCAGCCATCCTCCTCAGTCCTCCTCAGTCCTCCTCAGTCCTCCTCCTGGGTCCTCCTCCTCCTGGGTCCTCCTCCTCCTCCTCTTCATCCTCCTCCTCTTCCTCCTCGGTCCTCAGTCCTCCTCCTCCTGGGTCCTCCTCCTCATCCTTCTCATCAGTCCTCCTCCTCCCCAGTCCTCTCCCAGTCCCCCTCCTTCTCCTCCTCCTATTCAGTCCTCCTCCTCCTCCTCCTCAGTTCTCCTCAGTCCTCCTTCTCATTTCTCCTAAGTCCTCCTCCTGAGTCCTCCTCCTGAGTCCTCCTCCTCTTCCTTCTGAGTCCTCCTCCTGAGTCCTCCTCCTCCTCCCTCTCAGTCATCCTCCTCAGTCATCCTCCTCAGCCATCCTCCCCAGCCATCCTCCTCAGCCATCCTCCTCAGTACTCCTCAGTCCTCCTCCTCCTCAGTCCTCCTCAGTCCTCCTCCTCCTCCTGGGTCCTCCTCCTCCTGGGTCCTCCTGGGTCTTCCTGATCCTCCCCAGTCCTCTTCCTCCTCCCCTCCTCAGTCCTCCTCCTACTCTTCCTCCTCGTCCTCAGTCCTCCTCATTAGTCCTCAACAGTTCTCCTCCTCCCCAGTCCTCCTCCTCCTCCTGGGGCCTTTTCCTGGGTCCTCCTCCTGGGTCCTCGTCCTCCTGGGTCCTCCTCCTCCTGGGCCCTCCTTCTCCTGGGTCCTCCTTCTCCTCCTCAGTCCTTCTCCTCCTCCTCCTCAGTCCTCCTGCTGTTATAGGGGGATCATGTTTTTTGTCCGTTCGGTACCCTATATTTTCAAAACGGACAAAAAATAGAGCGGACAAAAACGGACAAAAATGGACAAAAACGGACAAAAATGGAAATAACATTTAGATGCTACCTCCTCCTACTCTTTCTCCTCCTCCCCCTGGGTCTTCCTGATCTTCCTCAGTCCTCTTCCTCCTCCCCTCCTCAGTCCTCCTCCTACTCCTCCTCCTCGTCCTCAGTCCTCCTCATCAGTCCTCAACAGTCCTCCTCCTCTCCAGTCCTCCTCCTCCTCCTGAGTCCTCCTCCTGGGTCCTCCTCCTGGGTCCTCCTCCTGGGTCCTCCTCCTCCTCTTCATCCTCCTCCTCTTCCTCCTCAGTCCTCAGTCCTCCTCAGTCCTCCTCCTCATCCTTCTCCTCAGTCCTCCATCCTCCTCTTCAGTCCTCCCCCAGTCCCCCTCATCCTCCCCCTATTCAGTCCTCCTCCTCCTCCTCCTCAGTTCTCCTCAGTCCTCCTTCTCATTTCTCCTAAGTCCTCCTCCTGAGTCCTCCTCCTGAGTCCTCCTCCTCTTCCTTCTGAGTCCTCCTCCTGAGTCCTCCTCCTCCTCCCTCACAGTCATCCTCCTCAGTCATCCTCCTCAGCCTACCTCCCCAGCCATCCTCCTCAGCCATCCTCCTCAGTACTCCTCAGTCTTCCTCCTTCTCAGTCATCGTCAGTCCTTCTCCTCAGTCCTCCTCAGTCCTCCTCAGTCCTCCTCCTCCTCCTGGGTCCTCCTGGGTCCTCCTCCTCCTCCTGGGTCCTCCTGGGTCTTCCTGATCCTCCCCAGTCCTCTTCCTCCTCCCCTCCTCAGTCCTCCTCCTACTCTTCCTCCTCGTCCTCAGTCCTCCTCATCAGTCCTCAACAGTTCTCCTCCTCCCCAGTCCTCCTCCTCCTCCTGGGGCCTTTTCCTGGGTCCTCCTCCTGGGTCCTCGTCCTCCTGGGTCCTCCTCCTCCTGGGTCCTCCTTCTCCTCCTCAGTCCTTCTCCTCCTCCTCCTCAGTCCTCTTCCTCCTCTTCCTCCTCCTCCTCCCTCTCAGTCATCCTCCTCAGCCATCCTCCTCAGCCATCCTCCTCAGTCCTCCTCCTTCTCAGTCCTCCTCCTGAGTCCTCCTCCTCCTCAGTCATCCTCCTCAGTTCTCCTCCTCGGTCCTCCTAGGTCCTCCTTCTGGGTCCTCCTCCTCCTCCTCCTGGGTCTTCCTGATCCTTCTCCTCCCTCTCAGTCATCCTCCTCAGTCATCCTCCTCAGTCATCCTCCTCAGCCATCCTCCTCAGCCATCCTTCTCAGCCATCCTCCTCAGTACTCTTCAGTACTCTTCAGTACTCTTCAGTCCTCAAAATGTTTGTCCGCTAATGTCCACCAATGTCCGCTAATGTCCAGCAATGTCCATCCAAGTCCGCCAATGTCCGTCCGGGTCCGCCAATGTCCGTCCGAGTCCGCCAATGTCCGTCCGAGTCCGCCAATGTCCGTCCGTGTCCGCCAATGTCCGTCCGTGTCCGCCTATGTCCCAAAAAACACGTCCGTTGTCTCATAGAATCCAAAAAGGACAGGACATAGGCGGACATAGACGGACATGACACCCCCCCAATATGGTTGATGGAACCCTTTATGACCTAGGCAAACTGGTCTGAACTTCAAAAACTATAATATAGCTTGCCTAACACCCCTCACACTAGGATACATACTATATATACTATACTCTATAAATTTTACTTTCTAATGTTACATTATTCAAGTTCCGCAGCCATTTTATCAAATTATACGAATAAGGATTGCTTTACAATTCTGTATGAGAATCTAAAAACCATGTTACCAGTACAAGAATATATTGAACATTCCAGATATGAGCTTTGTAGTCAAAACATAAATATGTTACAAAATTCAATGTTTTGGGCCCAAGTACAAAATTTGGTCAAGAATATGGTTGATAGAACCCTTTGTGACCTGGAAAAACTGGTCTGAACTTCAAAAACTATAATAAAGCTTACCTAACACCCCTCACACTAGGGTACATACTCTATACACTTACTTTCTAATGTTACATAATTCAAGTTCCGCAGCCATTTTATCAAATTATATGAATAAGGATTGCTTCAGAATTTTGTATGAGAATCTAAAAACCATGTTACCAATACAAAAATATATTGAATATTCCAGATATGACCCTGGCAGTGAAAACATAAATATGTTACAGAATTCAATGTTTTGGGCCCAAGTACAAAATTTGGTCAAGAATATGGTTGATGGAACCCTTTGTGACCTAGAAAAACTGGTCTGAACTTGAAAAACTATCAAGAAGCTTTTCTAAAAACTCATTGAAAAAGTGTAGCATAGAAATGTGTTACAAAATTCAATATCCAGGGCCCCCAACTAAACTGCTATATCTCAGGACCTGAATATGTTACAAAAATTCTGATTCAAGGGTGCCCTCAGTCAAAGGGTCTAGTTTTTGTCAGTAGTTTCAGTTTTTCTTAAAATGTTACAGATTTCAATCTGGGGGCCCAGAAGTAAAGAGTGGGAAAAATGTAACAAAACCACCAACCAGGTTTGAACACGTCCATGAGATTAATAATTAATGTCTAATCGATATGATTTATTTTGATTTTACCACACATACTTAGTTTTGAAACATTCATAATTTTATATGGCCTGTAATCAAATTTTATCAAATTGCAAGATTATCATTGCAGCCTCATTTCAAGCTTTCGAATCAAAGAGATGTTTCAGCTGTTCTAATACCATGAGAAGTTTTGATGCATTCAGTGTCTACAATATTCGCTGTGCACTTATAATCAATCATTTAATTTGTAGTCAAACATTCACATTGGATAAGATTTCCGCTACGACGAAGTGTGGTGGAAGGAAGGAAGGACAGACAACATATTTAGAGCTCCAAAATTCCTCTTTTCACTACTGTCCATTCATAACCATCATTAACTTTTTAAAGTGGTGGATGGAAAAAATCGTATAAACGAGGTCCAAGATTTGCAAAATCAAATAATAGTTTTGTAAGGGCCTATCTTAAAATTACATCTTAATAATCTCTTTAATGATGTATGATTTTTAGAAACTTTAAATTAATTTTGGCGCTCACAGGTCCTCATGAATATGTGATTGCCGCATAAGGTTCTGTAAATGTGCAGGGCACCTTCAAGCTTAAATTATTCACCTTACTGAGGCAGTCAACCAACGCGTGGCTTTATTTTTATGATATGATATGTTTTGATTGTTATTAATAAATACCAAAATTTAAATTTGTTTTCCTAAAATTTGTTTTCCTTTAAATGATCCCTAAAACATATCTGAAAATTTAAGGTCATTTATAAGTGTCAGAATTAAAATAGCTGTAGTGCCCTTTCATTTTTTGGTAGTCAAACTGTGATTTATACAAAATCACGTCTTATACAATTGTACACTAATATAAATTTGCGTTTCAATGCTGTCTTTATCATTCTTTCAATCTACTAACAATCTACTTTACAATAGGGTCCATAAGGAAGCCAACAAATCTCCTAGGTCAACATCTTTAAAAGGTATGTTCTTCATATTTACACTTTACATGAAATGTAGATAATCAGAAACTTAGTTATTGTTTTGTCATAATTGCATGCCTGTCAATATCTGGTACCACTGATAACAATACTGTTTACCATAATGCTTAGAAGTGTTGGCCCTAAGTCACTAAGTGCAAGGTCGTTATTACTAGATTTATGGAAAACTTACGAAGCAATGATGTCCCTAAATGGCCTTCTCTCTGTGTTATTTCCGAAAAATTAATGACAAAAAGTAGTGATTTTCATGTGTTCCATTTTTTTTCGAAAAGTATACATTTTAGGACCTTCATTACATCATTGGGAGATTAGGTTTGGCCACGATACGGCCTCTATAAAGCAACGATACAGCCACTATACGGCCTATAAATTGTGCATAATTTTATTTACTGACATTCTGTATCAGGTTTAATTCAGACTTAAATTAATTTGGTTGTAAATGAAATTGTATAACTATCAGAATTTAAATATATTTTGATTACACCTTTCTGATCACAAATTTAAAGTCTCCATTAATCAAATCTCAAATGTGATGTCTTCAATCAAATGTCTCCAAAAAATAAAATTATGCACAAATTAGCACTAGATTAATGTAAAATTGTCCGAATTTAAAATATATGAACGTAAGTGGCCGAATAGAGGCCGTATCGTGGCCAAACCTAATCTCCCAATTTCCTCATTGCATCATTGTTTCTACAATTTACATAAACTATTACGTTTTGCACCCATGTTAAGTCTCTAGAACCTTCCAAAATCGCCAATAAAACGCACACGTCTTTCTTGGCTTGAAATGTCCTGGGACTACGGATAACACTTCTTTGAGAACGAATTAATTTATCCGAAGGCTATAATCTTCTTTCCCAAAACTCCTATATCACTTTAATGACAGTGAATCTATATATAATGATCGCAACTGTATGCCTAGAATGATCAGAATGACATGACCTAACGCGAACGCCCGATTCCTGAGTGCCAACACACATAAAACCACAGACCAGCATTATGTCATGGCTGTTAGAGAATGTTAAAGATATTTCACACAATCTCACCGCTCTCACCAGAGTGTACACTTGCTTTCCTTGTATCACAGTGATCTGAGGAGCTTTATCTGCCAATCTCGCTAGTCGCTACTGACACTTTCCCAATTACCCCCTTGCGACCGTCATTACATTTGTCTCCTCTGTAGTTTTGTTCCTGTTTTATTCCTCCGTAAGGTGCACTGTTCTCTACGGCGTGACAGTAAATTTCCAGACCACTGAAGATATTGCACTATTAATAACCGTGTAATATTTTAATAGGATAGTTGAGCAATATTATATAATATGTATAATATATTCTACTTCATGATATTATATTCTACTTTATAATTCGAAGGATTCTCTTTGTTTTCTGACCTGTGGCCACGGGCATTCTAATATATTATATTACATACATGTAATGCTCGAGGTAGCTGAATGCAAGACTTTTAAGTTGGTTAAGTTCTAATTTGGTCCAAAATAAGGCATAATCTTATACGGACTTCGGCGCCACACTTTAAGGAGTTTCGGAAGTTATTCGACATTAGATTAATTAAATGTGGGTATGTACTCATGTACTGTGCTTTTTAAGCAAAGTTGTTTCGTCTTATTAAGATTTGATAATTACAATTTGGCAGTTGACATACAATGAAATAAGCTTACACTTGTATAATGTATAAACTGATTTATTAAATTAGCACTGTCAACCTTTCATTATTGTTTGTTCGTTAATATTTGTGGCAAGGATTTTATGGTATTGGTATAATTATCCTATATCATTCTTTTCCTATCTTTTCTTACGAATGCATCTTTCTTTTTAATGATTTCAAATTCTTTTGTGACGTTAACTCAACTATACGTAGCAGAACATCAAAATACCCATCTCTTAAGATCAGTAAATATGACTTTTATCTCTCTCGCACGAGACGTCGTCTGTCCCTGTAAGTATTATCGCTTCTATTTTGGTGAACGTACGTCATCCTTAAAGTAACATCAAAACAACTACGTAGCAGGCGCGTCATTCATCGAACTGAGCTACAACATTACAAAAATGTGATGAAATCTCATTCAAGGGTAGGAATGATGCAAGTTTGCTATATGTATTTAGGCTGCTATTTAACAGAGTTACTTAATTTAACGTGTGCTTGTTCTGTTTAGTTTGTTGTGAATCGTTTACAGGTACACCCCGTGTTAACTCTTGCTTTAGCCTGTAGCTGTGTTCGGTGTAGATTGAGATTATAAATAACAGATTATTACTTCAAGTCCATTAATTACTAATACGATCGATTTAATCAATTTGATATTTGTTTGATTGAATTGCTGAAGACTAGAGCTTGGTTCATTTTGTTAAGTGAGTATAAACGCCGATATAGATACAGCTTTATTTATTCACTTCAAACAGATCAAATAAGATAACTGACCAATCAACACTCAATAATCATTAATAATCAGTAATATAATTGGACAGATTTCCGATGTGAATTATGCCAAGCTGGCCACATTTCAGTTGTCTTGAGTCTAAAAGTGTCGAGCTAAGAATGCCATTAACGATCCTATTTATTTTCATGTGATTACGATGTGGTAGCTGTAGAACAGTCATTTACTCAAATCGCGTCACGTAATTCCGTCTAATTTTCCGCCAGATTGGACATCCCGCCATTTTATTTCTTTTGATCGCTACATTTTACCAAAATTAAAATGTGCTTTCCGTGAAAAGAGTTTATTGCATTTATCCTCGAATTTGCACTTTGCGTTTGAAAATTTAATCTTGCGTTTGAAATGAGTTGTCTGGAAGCTGGAGCGATAACCTCCATACTGGGCAGACGATTGAGTGCCACGTTCAAGCCTATATCCTTTATTGTACAGAGTGAGTCGTGTGTTTAATAATTGCATCCCAGACTATTCACTGTATTAGTTTTACCACATTGCTGTTCTAAAGATTAGCCTTTCAAAATTCGTTCTTAAAACACGTTGTTCACTGTTCAACTTGAGCTCCCACGTTGTTGTCAGCGTGTCACTCCTTTTACAATGTTGTGTCTGACACTATAAACCTTGCCACCGTGTACTTTGTAGTAACTAGATAATAATACTGGCGGCGACTCATGGCGGTGGCGGTGGCGGCGGCGGCAGCGGTTCCCAGCGTAATATTACCAAACACCCTGTTGCATTATGCTGTTGAACTCTGTAGCCGTGTTACTTGTATGTGTTGGTTCCCTTGGGAGTAAACCCCGGAATTCAGATAAGAAGTGAAGTATTGTTTGTTACCCATACAGTATCCGGAAACAGTTCCACCGATAAAGAGACTCGGTGACGGAGCACACTTTGGATGGTTGTACTTCCCGTCGGGTTTAAAGGAAGTATGACGCAGGGCATCAGACGGAAATACAGGAGAGAGCGGGGCCCTGTGTGGCTTTACCGGCTCATCCTGGTGTCTCGCACTGTTACTGTAACTGACTCAAGAGGAGAGTAACAGCACTACTACTACTAGTAGTAGTGCCAGTATGATAACTTTTATTCAAAGTTATAAATATAAGTTGCACTAAACAGGTTAGGAAGCCTGGTAAGATTGTAGCGGTTTGTTGATGACATCCCACAACACAATTATATCCGGCACATTGTTTGTCGTTCTTTACTTATAGCTGTGCGAGTTTTTTCTAGTTACCGTCCTTGTAAGTGATGAATTAGAAAATTGGCTTCATTCCTTGTTGATTAGTCTAAATGGTTTGTTTAGAAAATCTAATTGAGCTCTAATTGGCTTGTTTCCTATCTGATCTGACTGAGCTCTGATTCTTATTAATTACCGCAACAATTATTCCAAAATATAAGATCTAAATGTTTTACAAACCACAGAGCTGAAAATCAGAGCTGTGTTGCAGAAATTAAGTCCGACCGTGGTTCTGTATAATAGGCTAACTGAAGACTAATTAGTAATTACTCGCGATCTACATGCGTGGTGTACACGATCTTTTGAAAATTAGTCTTTTCTAATTAGTAACCACAACAGGAATTTCCATGACGTTTGACTTGGCAAGTTCGTTCGAATCTGGTTTTATATTTTAATAGAGATAGTTAGTCTGCCGTCAAGATCAAACTTAATACGTTAATTTTTATACCATTTGTTAGATTTTGATCATTAATCTCCTAGATTCTAGTAGTTGACCAGCAGTTACGTACAGAATTTTTTATTTGTTATTCGTCTGGAGACGACAGCCACGAGTTTGGTATCCTGATTTTGAGTCGTGTTTAACTTGCAGTTCATATCAGTTCAGTTATCAAACTTCTCCAAAACAGTGATCACATTTTCAGTTAATCTCACATTTTATTCTTCATCAGGTCATGTACAGCACAAGTCATACTCATCCCTGGTACAACTAGAGGACTCACTACTCACCCTTTTCACTCCTTCTCACCGTCACTACTCACCTCTACTCTACTCGGCTTCACTCATCACACCTGTGCAACTGATTTCACTCACTATGGGTTCACATGAACCCTCTTCATCATCAAGTACCAATGGGGGCAAGAAATCTAGCTTTAGAAGGAAAGTTTTCAGCGGTATCAAGGGCAAAAAAGGTAAGAAAACACGGAAATCAGTAATACAAGCTTATACACTGTTAATTTTTAGAAATAAATTTAGATATCACTTTGAAAACTATGGATTTAGTAAAACCTGACAAAGCGACGCGACGTAATGTTACATTTGGCTATGTAGCGGTAACATGATACCCCTGGCTTTTTGGCCTATGTGCCACTCCTGACCCAAGGTCTGGCAGCCAGTCATTTACTGCAGATATAATATTATGGTCTCTACACAATATGTCATTTACTCCCTATATCCGGTCTGTGTGCACCGTGCATGTCATATACAGTTACTCTGTACATCCGGTCTGTGTACATGTTATTTACTCCTTACATTCGCATCGGTCGGTGTGCATGTTATACTTATCTACTCCTTACATCCGGTCTGTGTGCATATTATTTACTCCTTACATCCGGTATGTGTGCATGTTATTTACTCCTTACATCCGGTCTGTGTGCATGTTATTTACTCCTTACATCCGGTCTGTGTACATGTTATATACTCCTAACATCCGGTCTGTGTGCATATTCTTTACTCCTTACAACCGGTCTGTGTGCATGTTATTTACTCCTTACATCCGGTCTGTGTGCATGCTATTTACTCCTTACATCCGGTATGTGTGCATGTTATTTACTCCTTACAACCGGTCTGTGTGCATGTTATTTACTCCTTACATCCGGTCTGTGTGCATGTAATTATAAATGCTTTTACCGTGACGAATTAAGTAAAACGGGGAATATCCATTAACCTGGTTCCATTCATGATACTTGTTCTCAGGAAATGTTCCTATTGACATGCCAGCTTTATTGGACAGAACATCATTTATGCAATTCATTAAACCAAATTCGGCCATCATATGACAGAGGAATAATTCTCTCTTCCAAGTTCGTGTAATTTCCTTCTGTCATCTGGATCTTGCAACGAGAGTGTTCTTATCACAATTCCGATGATTTTCCAAGCGAATTAAGGCCACGTGATTAATTAAAGATGTTGTCATGACAACGGTTTGGCATTGTTCTTGCAATTAGTACATTTAGTGCAGTCGGGCGCTGTATTAAAACTCCCGTCTGCTGATATCAACCAACCACAAAACACCCGCTTCCCAGCCAGCCAATCAGATGACACAAAGCTGATCGCGTGACCTCTGATTTTCCTCCAACATTTAAAATATAATAGGCATAATGGAAGTCTGATCAGGCCTGTTACTATTTGATTTTTCTCGATAAAGATAGATTTGTGCACGTTTGACCTGCTCTCCCGTCAGAAAACCTCGCCACGTTACAAATTGCTTTAGTACTTTGTGGATACATATCCGGGGGGATCAGGTACTAAGTCCACCCCCCCCCCCTCCCCCCTCCCCGACATATCCTGCATTACTGGATTCCGTTGCTGCATTGGTTTGCATTATTTAATTATATATTATGTGTATTCCTTGGTTATATCTTTATATGAAGCTAGATACGTTGCTCACCATGCGGATAATTTTCAGTGGCTATAAATAGATTCCTCGGGTTTGCATATAATATGATAATGTAGATGTTTTTTCTCGCATTACAGCGTGTCAACAATTGGCAATTAGTCCTTCGGGTTTATCTTAATTATGTCATACGTTTTGTTGTGTTATGCCCTCATGTTATGAATTCTACGTGTTATAGATTATTACATTAAATTTAAGTTTAATATACCTCAATTAAGTTGTTTGTACGCGTTTAAAAGCTTTTCTATATTAATATCTAATTTTAATGGGTTGGCCCAATATCTCGATTAACATCAATTGCTTCTAGTCTGGATTTTCAAAAAAAAGTGGTTTCACGCTCATTTATGATGCTCAATTCCCTGCCAAATTTTTTAATGTTTGCAATTTGACTTTAGTCCAATTATTCAACAGTCAATTTACTTCATTTACAGTAGTCTACATTCCGTATTCACTGCCCGGCCAGCTCTAACACAAGAGTTTCACAATCTTCAGTTATAATACGGTATACTGTGTGGTGACAGTATTTTGACTGCTTCTCTTTGAAGATTTGCTTTAATTGCTATTTCTCCGTCTTGAACTTGAGGCAACGTCATTCCTCCGTGCGTAGGCGGAGATTGCTAAGAGGAGATTGCTAAGTCGTTTTCCTTTTCTCTTCCGTTAAATTCTGCGAATGCACCGTATGCTGGTAAACTCGAAAACTAACGGTAGTAACAGTTTGTTTTGACACGTGACAGTGATCAACCAATCAGCTTGCGGCTCAACCCAGCAACCAATCAAATTATCGAATTGTTTGTTCAATTTTCCGTTTGCCGTCGCCCTTCTACCATTTCCAAATTGACTTACCCTTTTTAGCCAACTGAAAATTCGAAGTTCGTTAATTGCTCCTCCCTCTCGTTCCTGTTCTTACCACGTGTTCCTCACATGACTTCCAACACCACCCCACTCCCCCTATCATATTCACACTGCAGTAAAAAAAATATGTATCTTTATAAAGATCTAACCTGGGTAGTGGGTACCCGCAGCTACTCAAGCCCCGCTTTCATGCAGTTAATAGCTCTTCTCCGGGCTCTCTTTGTCATTCCTCCCTCCTTCGCTCACCTCTTGATGACTTTCCTTGTCTTTTTAGATTGCTCTCGGTTTGACCTTTTTAGTAGGATTATGTTAATTTGTCTTTTGTGCGGAATCTTTGATAAGCGATCTCATTTTTGCTTACATTTTGTTGCCTAACCGTTTATAGTCTACATTTTAGTATATACCCACTACCCAGTCCTTTGCGCAACGTTTTGTCACGGTAGGAGCCTGCTGCCCTTGTATGTTCGGCCGGATTTATATATTACGCAATATTCGTGTAGAAATCTTTAAACGTTTATAAGTTATCACGCGGCTACGTGATGTGTACATCGATACATTAGCGGTGTGATGTTTTCCTGAATTATAGTAAGCATTATATATACCTAGACCTTTCAACAAGAGTCAATACTCCAACTGAACAGGGTTGACAAGCTTTAGTAATAAAACCCATCCTCAGTTAAAACGTATAATTTTCTTACCTTCCAGAATGTTCCATTTTGCTTGTCGTCATGCCTACACATTATATTTAACAAATCAATATTGACAGACCCGTGTTTGTCAGCCAGACTGCCAGTATATTTAGCTATTCTCTCCGGGGGAGGTTCTGATGTTTTGAATAAAAAGTAGGAAAACAGGAGACCCCCCCCTCAAGATAGAGTGTGATACTCCATGGCTTCACTCCGACTCACTCTCTCTCTCTCTCTCTCTCTCTCTCTCTCTCTCTCTCTCTCTCTCTCTCTCTCTGAGTTGTATAGTTCTCTTGCACAGCGTGGCCAGGGTTCCGTGTATACAACTCCAGTTACTCTGCTCAATTTTACATTTAATTCCGCCTTATACAGTGTACATATTATATATTTAATTATGCTTTATTTCGGACAACTGCCTTGCGTATGACTGTCGTCGCTGTTTCAGTTGTGGCCCGGCTGTACGCAACACCATTATTCGGTAGAGAGGCTGTTCTTACCAATTATTCTTCATCTTTAAATACCATCAATATATCAATCAGTCGCTTCATTGTATCAGTCTTTGTTAGAATCTAAAGTCGTGCTTGTGCTAAATTGGGCCGATTTTCTCTTGTCGTCACGTTTGACGTCGATCTTAGTCCTGGCTTGCATATTAAGATGTTTTTTTAGGACCGATCGTTTTAAATTTAATATTTTGTTTTAATACTTCTGAAGGATCATGATCAGCTTCGTATTTAATTTATGATTTCTGTTGAAGAGTTGATATTGATTATTTTCTCGCTGTGAATAGTTCTGCTTTTTTCTATTTTTTACTTGATCAATACACCGAGTTTATTTCATTTTGTATTTCCTTCCGCATCATTTTCATTCAGTATTGCACATTCCAAGACCTCAAGACCTGGTATGTGGTTACACATCTGATCCAGGAGGGTGGAGAGCTGTAAATATTTTCGGAGCCATAACATAATGGAACTTTTAATCTGTTCCTTTATTTAATAACCCGATCTTGGCTGATTGTGAACTTTCTTAAACGGCTATTAGTTAAATTAGAGAGGGAACCGCCCACTGTAACATCAGAAGGGAGGTGATTGCCTCACTGACCTCCACTTGAATCTAAAATATCCATGACAGGCGGGGGTAATAATACCATATAAGGAGTGAAAAGTAAAATCCACTTTTCTTGATTTTCTGTGGTACCATGGCCGGTAGTAAGATTTACGTTGAATGAGTGTGGTGGTGCGCAAATGTTTAATTGCAACCAGTTGATAAGTTATCTTGTCCCTCCGCAAACTTATTTTAGATTACTCTCAGTTGCTTACTAGTTAACCAATGAGCTTCCAGCAGCAAGAATCACATTCACGAATTAGTGTCATGTGTCAAAACAAATATTTCCGACATCCCCGCAAGTAACCAACTTTATTATATTGTCACCTTCCTTCCACATATGTCACATATTTTCAGTTTTGTTGGAATACTTAAAAACAGGCCATCAAATATGATAATATGTGTCCGTTAACGTATTTCACGCCGCTCACATATTATCTACCACTCACATATTATCATCTGCCGGTCTGTCTCTAGCCCGAACGCGGTGCACAATATTGCCCGTTATTGTAGTATTGAGCGAGACATCTCAGACCAACACTTCACATTGAACCAAACCCGCATTTCAATAAACTTAATGTGACAGATCTTCAAATATTTCAGAACAAATTAGCACGAAGTTCCGCCAAGTTCACGAGTAACAAAGTTCATTATATATCAGCACCGTGACACATGTCGGCAACAACACTATATTACCCGCACGTGATCACTTCAGCCCGCCCACGTGTCACGAAATGGATCCCTCCCATTGGTCAAATTTTATCACCTGACTTAAATACAGCCTCTTGATTGGCTGTTTTTTGCACGTGGTGTTAACGATGTGATTTTATTGGGTGATGAAGTGCACAAGTATATACTGTATCGGCCTTGTCTTATCTTGAAACATGAGCCGGGCTCGTTGGTGCTGCATGCTTATATTATAAATGTGATCTTATAGGGTTATTGTATTGAGCCATTGTCCCGGTTTCTAGATGCCTTAATTTCCTCTCGTCTCCAGCGGCGCTCCTTCTTCAACAATCAACAATTGTCCACACTTCCTACTTTAGCCTTGCTATTTCTAGCATCTTGTACTATTACTCTTTTTAACTTATTTGCTGCCAGTGGTTTATTACCTTCTCTTCTCGCCCCTTCGCTGTAGTGCGTCTTGCTTTAACTTATTTTGCCCTGGTTTATTCTAGTCTTTTCTCGTCCCGTCGTTTTTATCTAGGACACGTGTAGTGTTGCACCAATTTATCTTATCTTTTATTTGGTGACCTGGACAGTGCGTCTGGTCTAGTTAATTATCCTTCATTTCTCAAGTCAGATTTTTTTCTACGTACATAAATCTAACTCCGCATTGTTGGGCGTGTCCACTGTCCGTTAAGAACTTATATTGAATTTGACAATTAGATATGTTAATTCGTATCCACTATGCGTAATTCTGCAATTCTTGAATGTTTGTATATTAAGTTTGGTAACTGTTGTAAATTTATAGTTTCGACATTTCGATGAAAACATTCGATTATTTGCGTGACATTTAATTGATTAATTAAGTACATTTTTTGTTACTTGCCTTCTTGATTATTTAATGATAAGATAGCTACTTAATTGAATATCTTATCTACAATTTGACACGAATTACTTTTGATTAACAAACTGTGGTTTATTTCATGATTGATGTTAAGTCGTTTCTCTATTAAAGCTTGTACCTTATAACCACATCCCTCCCCTTAAAAGATATGTAAAGAATTTGGATTTGTATATCATAAGATGCGAGCATGTTGAAGAAAAAGAAGAAGATAAAGAAGATCAAGAAGATCGCATTTGTCCGAAATGGTAGGCATATAATAGTGGGCTCACCAACATAGCACAATTCGCTGTTTCCTCCTATCAAAATATAACCGCACTTTTCTGCATACCTAAATCTCTAAATGTTTGATATACTGCTAAGGATACAGTGGTTAACTCTCGGCCGACATTTGTAATTTCAATCTATGGTGATAATTTATGGACAGAATATCTCTTACATTATTATATGTTTTCTTAGCTTCTAGGCGTTGAGAGAATATTAGGGACATTAATTGTACACGAAGAACAGTGCAGCAGTGTTTTGTTTCACTTTTATTCCTCAGAATTTCACTCTTCCAATCGTTTATGTTTAACGCACAATTAGGCATTGTCTGTTAAAAGTTTGCTGAATGTGATTGCACGTCTTAATGGGTTATGGGCATTGGGTACAGTAGGCCTTTGTTCTCTTTATGGTATTTTGATATTAAAATGGCTCGGTTGTTTTATTTTGGGACTAAAAGTTATCTTAACATCTGGTGTTCTTTGAAACCCAAATATGGTGATCTTACGCATGAACAGTTTAAACATTTTTATTGAGTCGATTCGTCAGAATGATACCTCAACATGATCCATGTTACATTCCATGATATCATACTAGCAGTAACCTTCTCCGGAAGAGTTTAGGAAATACTTTCTTGGTTGCAGTATTCAAAAGTAGCCTTATCTAAATCCGATGTGTTAACCCAAGTTTAGTTGGGAAACCAAAACTTCATCGTCGTATCAATTAATAATAAATATAAATAATCATATTCTCGTAAAAATATCGAATTCACTGGGCTCAATTTAATGGGTACATTTTTTCAGGGGACGAAATGCCGGAGGTCAAGAAACAGAAGAAGCGGAAAGCCTTCAAAATGAAGAAGAAGGTTGGTTCTGGTATCTACTTAATTTTGTGAAATTCTGATTCGTTAATTAGAGAGCTATATCCATTTAAGGTCTCGAGTCTCGACGTAAATTTAATTAGGGTAAAGCTTGACAGCCGAGTAGGACTGTAGGACAAGGTCTTAGAGATTGTCAAGTAAATATGCAAAGTTCTTGAGCTAATATCAAATAGCTGGCAATTCGGTAATCAGTTATGATATACAAAAAGTAGCTCGGTCACGATATTTATATCTGTTTTGTAACCTCATGTAACCTCGTGTAACCTCAAGCACTCTCTGGAGATGCTCAGTTCAAACATTATGAGCGAGATTTCAGTTTCTCTTGATCTATTTTGATCTTTTTTAAAATCTATCTTCTTGCTCAGGCAACATAACTGAAACCAAAACCGATTGAGTATCAAATCCATATTTGAATATTTAGCCAATTAGTCCAATTAACCAATTAACAGCACATTATCCCAGGTGTTCAGATCATCGGACCCACTGTTATCTGTGTTCATGTGGGGAGTACATCAGAGTGTTGAGCAGTTAACTCACTGCACTATACCTCCTCTCCTTCTCGACACTGACTTCAAGGCTTTTTCCAAGGTCAGAGGGCGAAATTTACTAATTAATTACATCATCACTTATCTGTATTGTTAGTAGAACCTATTATCGAGGTGATACTTCCGAATTTGCCAGAGATTGATATTTTAGCATGTAACTGTAAGAGTAAATTCATGTTGCTCCATATTTTAATTTGTCTTGTTGAAGTGTTAGATTAGATTTTATAATTATGTATAAGTATTAATATCAGTTTTACAGTATTATAGTAATAATAATAATATGTAAACTATGTCAAATATCTAAAAGTTTTCCCCCCTCACAGATATCGATAGAGAATTACAATTTCAACAGTGACAACATGACTGGAAAGTTCAAGTTTAAAGAATACTGCCCCATCGTCTTCAAGAACCTCAGAGATAGGTTTGGAGTAAAAGAAGCGCTCTTTAATCAGGCTTTATCTTCTTGTGAGCCATATTATGAGGTGAGTTTACCTTTAAAGAATGTAGAGTTTTATTTTATTTCCCATTTTTGGTCAAAAACTATATATATATATATCTCCCCCGGCCCCGTTTAAATCTACCAGTTTATTAAGAGAGCTGCTAGACTTATATTAGACATTTTTTATCAATACTGTGATTAATTTCGTTTCTTCATTGGACTTGCAGAAAACGTAATTTTAGTTGTTATTCATTCTGTAAGGTTCATTTTTCAGAGTAAAGTGCAACCCTCCCGAAACAGCCTATTATTTGATGCATCCTCGGTACCATGAAAATTAAACGCAAGCCTAAATTTTTTTTCTGCCGAAATTGTTTGCCAAAGCTTTTTACAAATAAATAAGGCGAGGCAGAATTTAACAAACTCTATTAATTTTAGCGTGATTTTCTCAACAAATTATTAGCCTGAAATAACTTTCGATGATGATTCATTGAAGACAGAAAAAGCAGAAACAACAGTCGTATTGTTGTGCTTACTTTCTCATCATATGCTTACATTAAATAATAATTATCTCAATGATTGAGAATTAACTTAATTAGCTTAATATTAATTTTTATTCGCTAACAACAAATCTCACAGGCACAAGGGGATGCATTAAAAGAAAAAGAGCGGGGACACAAATATTTCTACAGCAAAGACAACAAATTTGTCGTTAAGATCTTCCACAGCGAAGAGGTATGTAGAAAACATTAATGTAAATGTATAAACATAGTATTAACAATCCGTCTCGCCGACCTTATCATCTGCACACATTTAACTCAGACATCTAGCAGTGATGTCGTGTCCAGCCTCTCTTTTTTAACCCTCAGATATCTTTATAGCCTCTTACTTACCAATAAACTCGCTAAGTTAATTAATAGTACTATTAATTTATCCAGTTTCCTACATTCACAAGCCATTTTTTCCCGCCTTTTTTCCGAGCAGCCATTTTCTTTACTGTAATAATCCACGTCAGCCATTAATTTTAGCCTCAAGCTCAAGGAATTCTGATAATTTATCCCCCGTAAGGCTGAGATCATCCACTAGTTTGTATCCGCTTTGCCTTTAAAGACATTTCGAGTTTGTGTAAACTCAATACATCATCATTGATCACACACACTGTACAGTATCTAATTATCGGTTATAATTTCCTCACGCGCGGCGTGATGACTTGATGTCCCGGTAATCCTTGTAAAATATATTACCTGAATGTTATTTAGTGTCGTCAGGTAAAACTGGCTCCTGAGATTATGCTGAATATTATAATAATAAATAAATAAATTCTAACATTTATTACACGCTTCGACATTAAAATATACCCAACAAAGATGTACATTAAAGTCATTCAAGCGAGACTTAGTGTTGAAATAGCAAGATTATGGACTTTTTAAACAGTTCAGATTTTATGAACAAATATTTGTATGAAGTTACCAAAATTATGCACTTTCATATCAGTTCAGACATTATGGACAAATATTAGAAATATTATCAAAAGCTAGTTGGAAATAAAACGTCTTTAGGGCATTTTTAAAACATTCTACAGATGATAATGATCTCACTGAGTAGGGTAGTTCATTCCAAATTTTTGGTCCACAAAACATAAATGCAGCATCTGTTCGTCTGAAATGAGGAGCAGGAGGAACTTTCAAAAATATTTCAAATAAAAGTCATCATCTAGTCTGGAACTTTGTCTTCGTACTTCCCTTAGATTGACGTGTCCTTGTAAGTACTGAGGGGCTATGTTATTAAGACACTTGAAGACCAGAAGTGATATTTTGAACTTAATTCTGAACCAAACAGGCAGAAATTGGAGCTTTTTGAGGTAAGGCATGATAGGTTCACGTATCTTTTTTCCGTAAAGACCAAAGATAAATCTAGCAGCATTGTTCTGTATCTTTTGTAGCTTATGAAGATTCTTTTCTGTTAGTCCATAATAGACTGAGTTGCAGTAGTCTATGAAACAGAGGATATTGGAGTGAACTAGCTGAACTTTTAGGTCATGGGAAAGCTTCGAACCGATTCTTGCTAAGTCCCTTTGATTCAAATAACATACTTTGGAGACAGCATTTATTTGAGAGTCCAGATTCATTTGGTGATCGAAAAGGAATCCCAGGTTCTTGGCCTTGCTAACAGGGCAGATTGAGAGGTCTCCTAAATCCATTGTCTGGATTGGGCTGACATATGGTCCTATATCAATGAACTCTGTTTTTTCATCATTCAGTTTTAGGAAGTTAACTGTCCTCCATTGCTTTATCTCCAGAAAGCAATTTTTCACAGCTGTTAAATCAGGATTAGAACTGTGAACATCAAAAGTAAAGTACACCTGTGTGTCATCTGCATACAAATGTATCGAGAAACCATATTTTGTGACAATTTCTTCAAGATCTCTGGTATACAATATGAACAGTAGTGGTCCTAAAATGGATCCTTGAGGTACACCAATATCCAGATAGCCTTCAGAAGATGTGGCTTTTTTTACTTTATGCTGTCTCTAAATGTGTATGTTTTGTGTGTATATCTTAGCGTTGTGAATCTCATAATCCAAATTAAAACAACATTATAACTATAACAGTAAGCCTGATCGAAATTACCTTAGTACCAGCCATTATTTAATATTTATCAACGAACTGACCTCAATTGTACACTACTGAGGTTTTCTTTAAGTTTTGTTTTTTAGAAATGGGTCCCATTTCTAAACAAACAATGTATGATGAGGTATGAGAGGTATGTACAGTGAGACACAAGCCCACTACTTTTACACACTGTGTGTACGAAAGTGAGTGTTGAGTCGTCAGTCAGCTGACGACTCTGTGTATTATGTAGTATACTTCATTCTTGTAATTGGGACTAACCGGTCAAGTTATTTCCCTCTTATCAATTTATTAACCTCTTATCTGTTAGCTTCACTGAATGGAAGGTGATGTAATGAATTGAGGACAGTGTAATAATATTATTATTATTTTACTTGGTAGGAGGGGTAGACATCACATTAATCTATTTTAGATGCTCAAATAATGACTTGCCGCTCAGATCTTATTATTTCTTATATATTTGGGGATTGGCATGATATGATCAGCTTATATTATAAGTTTTATCTTCCATTGCAACGTCAACAGAGCTTCGGTAACTGAGCTTCATTCATATCTGAACAAATATCACGTACATAGTTATGGAATTTAAATCGAGTGTGGAATGTTCTTCTAATCACCTGCACGGTACCTGGTAACCCTGCACGGTACCTGGTAACATTGCTTCTGTATTGAGCTGTAAGTAAACACTAAACACACCAGTATTAGTAAATGATACATTTTGTACTACACAAGTGATAAAGTACAGAATATATAATGATAGGTGTGCACGAATGTTTAACACATGAAGAAATGTACAAGTATTTATAGATTGATCTGTGAGGGACATGTTGCATGTGGGAGTGGGCTACGAGAGGTTAAGTGAGGTTTAGTGTAGTGAGAGGTTAAGTGAGGTTTAGTGAGGTTTAGTGAGGTTAAGTGAGGTTTAGTGTAGTGAGAGGTTAAGTGTAGTTAAGTGTAGTGAGGTTGAGAGCTCTGCTACGACCTCTGCAGACGACCTTCAAATGTTATGTAATACTAATACTTAGCACTCCTGGGAAAGTTAACTGTACATGATACGTCAATTTCTGTTATGAAATCAAAATTCAGGTTGTTTGATCCCAACAGTACAATCCAGTTAAGTTCAAATACCTCATTGTTATTTGTTCAGCAACCTGATTGGTCGCACAAACCTCGATCTTTTACAAGCTGATAGGTCGCACTCGACTGACCCCGCCCCTGCAAATACCTTCCATATTGATTAGCAAGACAGGCTCTCTCTCTCTCTCTCTCTCTCTCTCTCTCTCTCTCTCTCTCTCTCTCTCTCTCTCTCTCTCTCTCTCTCTCTCTCTCTCTCTCTCTCTCTCTCTCTCTCTCTCTCTCTCTCTCTCTCTCTCTCTCTCTCTCTCTCTCTCTCTCTCTCTCTCTCTCTCTCTCTCTCTCTCTCTCTCTCTCTCTCTCTCTCTCTCTCTCTCTCTCTCTCTCTCTCTCTCTCTCTCTCTCTCTCTCTCTCTCTCTCTCTCTCTCTCTCTCTCTCTCTCTCTCTCTCTCTCTCTCTCTCTCTCTCTCTCTCTCTCTCTCTCTCTCTCTCTCTCTCTCTCTCTCTCTCTCTCTCTCTCTCTCTCTCTCTCTCTCTCTCTCTCTCTCTCTCTCTCTCTCTCTCTCTCTCTCTCTCTCTCTCCCTTTCTCTCTGCACACAGTTTACGGTCTACGGGAGAGAGAAAGGTTTTAATTAATCGAATAAATCCTGACAAAGACACAGAACACGCCCTCGGAGAGCCACTATTATTGCAAGTAACAAAGGTACTGTAATCATTGTGTCTCTTTTCCGTAACCGTTCAGATGCCATGATAAGCAGTTTAGCGTGCTAATTGTCATTAATGGTCATGCAATTTAAACGTGACAATATGATAACAGTAGTGTTAAATTAAGTGGTGTAAAGTGGTAAAGTGGTAAAGTGGTGGTGCTAACATTATCAGTTAAATTAAATGAGAGCAAGCTAAATAATGGTATCGTTATCATTGAGTTGTATAAAGTTCTTAGTCCATCAATAAAGGAGTAAAATATTTCTGTGGGATCATATCTTCATTCGGAATCATATTTAGTTTTATCAAAAATAATTGATATCACTGTTGGACGCTTAATAAGTGATCATGGTTGGTCCGTTGGAGTTTAAACCAAGAGGCAGGATTAATATTCCAGTACCAAGGGTCATTATGGTATGGAATAATAACTGTACTTGGTGGATATTCTGATTTATTTACAGCCCAAACCACCATTAAACTAATGTGCCCCCAGGTTGAGTTCATGCACTCCATACTGAACGTGTACTACAACTACGCCGTGGAGAAAGCAGGACAAACGTTACTCCCTCAGTATCTTGCTATGTACAAAATAACGGTCAGTAAAATGTTATTATATAATATTGCTGCTAGCAGGACGAGTTTTTGTAAATTGTAAATATTAAGGTATATTATATTATATATTATATATAATGCACTTAGCTCTAGCTTTAGCTCTGGTCGCCCATACGCATACGGCGTGTTCAATTTTTATAATATTAAATTCAAGATTATTGACGTCAATTGTTAAGATATTGACAGATTCTTGAAAAGTTTTCTATTGAGACTTGAGAGCTACTATATTTAGTGCTGCTAGCTTCAGAAACTTCTTGACACTTTGTTTGATAACAATGCGGTTGAGCGTAGCTTATAGCTTTGATTGTTTGAAAAAAAATTGCTGCTTCTTGTCTTTTCTGTCTGTAGCACGGTATTTATAGCAAACTCGACATGGAGGCCGGGGGAGGGGGTTCAAGGTTCAGGTTCAAAACTTAAATCATGTGAAGTTGGCATTTAGTTTTAAACGCTATAAAACTACGAGTACACAATATGTCCATTCAAACTTATAACTTTACCGAAGATAGAAAGTCTGCCACTGTTCTATTATTAGATCTAGGGTCAGCGGCTTCGAATTTATTATTTTTAAAACCGCAATTTTACATCGGAAAACGTTAAAAGTTCTTATCTGCTCTCAGATAAATCTGTAAATTGTAATGACGAGACATGTCGTAATTTAGCGGTATATAATATTTTACTGCATTGGTCATCTGACAAGTTTCTGGAGATTATACTCAGCAATCTACATGTAGCGTTAAACATAAAGTTACTTAAAACATTGTTTACTACACAGTGGTAAATGTACACAGTGGTAAATGTACCGTGTAGTGTACACTCTACAATCTAGTGATGAAGGATTACATATAATAGATTGGTATATAATAAACTAGGTGGTATCTTATTTAAATCAGCCTTCTTTTTATCGTTATTTACGCAAGCCTATAATTTCAGTATAATAATTACAAGGTTTAACCAACCTTATTATATGATTAAGAAGCTATAGTCTATACCCACTGTTAACAAATAGCTTTATTGTCATGTAAAAACAGCTAAAGTATCATGGGTTGTATTTCTTCGGGGGGGGGGGGGGGGGGGGGGGATCAGGTACCAAGTGCCGGACATCACGTCGACTAAGTGTAGTTTTGGATATTTTTCACTAGACCCACCCACCCCCTTTGCGGTACTAACTGTTTTTTTGGATAATACGTAAGATACCCACCCCTTTTGCCGCCTTTTGCGGTACTAACTGTCGAAAAATCGTGGTACTAACTGTTTTTTGGTATATAGAATAAAATACCCACCCATAAATTGCTTTAAACAGCTCATTAAACATTGGAAATGGGAAAATTATACCCACTATTTAGTAGGGGTTTTGTTTTCAATGTAGTCGAATTAGATAAAAAGTTACACAAAAAATTTTAAAATTACAAAAAACCCAAAAAAAAACTCAAAAAAACCTCAAAGCCCATTCCCAAAATTGAAATTTGAGGTAAAATGGTTTTTTTTTGGGGTCGGACACCCAAAAAATGAACCCCTTAGTACCATGTACTAACTGTTTTTCTGGAAAATGGGCAGTAGACCCACCAGTTAGTATGTAACTGTGTTTTTGGGAGAAAAAATGACCCACCCACCAACGTCATGTCCGGTACTAAGTGTATGATCCCCCGGCCCCCCCCCCCCCCCCCCCCCCCCCCCCCCCCCCCCCCCCCCCCCCCCCCCCCCCCCGATTTCTTGCTTTTAAAGGTGTGATCTTGTTACATAGTCCTGGTGATTGGTACATGATTACTTAATGAAGCTGAAGTGTGCTCAAGATGCCCATATAAGGGCACAATATATATTGATATCATGTAACGTAATGTTACTGATAATGATGATATTTCAGGTATCAAGCATCGAATATCACATGATTGTGATGAAGAACGTGTTTGCGGTGAACCTCAGGATACATAAGAAATACGATCTGAAGGGGAGCAAGGTTGACAGGGCCGCTACTGATAAGGACCCTACACTCAAGGATTGTGACTTCCTTAATGAAGATGTAAGTGTGTCATACCACGGTGACTTTATACCAATATATCACTATTTACTAATCATGCTGAGTAGATAATTGTATAGTAAAATACACACAGCATATTAGAGTTCAGATACATATTTCTTTTATCAATTGTTTTTTACTTTTCTACCGCCTCTAAATTCCTACTCAATAACCGTATCTTACAGATGAAGATAAGAGTAGGAGAAGAGAAGAGGAAACACATCCTAGCTATGCTGGAATCAGACGTGCAGTTCCTTTCTCAGCTCAAAATAATGGACTACAGTCTCCTGTTAGGAACACACAATGTCGCCCAGGTACTTCTATAAACCACCTCGTTGTAACATTGTGTATTTAGTGTATAATTAATAATTATGCCGGCAGTTATGTTAAACATTTTACATATTTTAAGTGTGTACATAATACATTCCTGGCTTACAAGAACAAGGCTATATAATAAGAATTGTGATTACCCTTGTCCTGTAGCAAGGTAGCAGCCCAATTTACTTAACATTTTATAATTTGTACTGCTAACTTACCTGGGGAGTTATATCATAATGACGTATAATAAGCGCGGGTGTATGGGCCTTTAAATCGTGTGAGATAATTGAGCGACTAACCACCACCAAATATGCGGTGTATTTAAAATATGCTGTATGATTGATCATTATAACTCTGCATGGTAATACTATACTCTAAAATTCCAAACAAGACCTCCCGTCCTAATTAGCGGGTGTTACGATACCAAAATACATGTTTGGGTAATATAACATGTATATAGTAACTAGGGACTTGTTGGGACACGTCATGATGGTGATTATACGACCAGACTGCAGGAATGGTCATTCCAAAATCACTGACACGTGCAACTTGCTTGCTATACCCGTGACAATTTCAGCTGTTCTTGAACTGTTCATCCAGCTCAAAATATAATATTTTTCCGCTTATAATCTTGGACTACTTCTGTTTTCCCACTTGATCGTGGCTGACGTGGTCCCTTTTAGGGGCACGAGGAAAGGGAAATGGACGAGGAACACTCCTCGTCTGACGATCTACTGGACGGAGAGGAGTTTAACAATAATAAGGACTCTGATGTTCCCATGGAGATTGAGGAGGAAGAGGAAGAGGTATTTACTCCGCACACGTTTTCATCCATTTTGTATTGTTCAAGGATGTCTTTGTAAGGGAAATATTATAAAAATCAATGTAGGATAATCTCTTTTATCGCTTTTCAACATGTTTTACAAAATCATCCATCTGACTATCTGATGGCTCATTGGCTTGTGCAATTCATTTTTACAACCACAGTCACGTTTTGTGGGTCTTGTTAATTGTTAATCACCTAATTAGTAACCCACTTAGTTTACAAAATTATATTTTCAGGTTGAAGATCAGATATATGAGAATGGTTACACGTATTTTAGTGATCCAGCTATATCTAACAAGGAAGTTTATTGCTTTGGTCTTATAGACGTTTTAACGAAGTAAGCCCTGGTTTTTGTTAAATATTATATAGATTTATCTTAAATATTAGTTAATAGTTAGTGATATAAGATAAGCAGCTTTATCTTACTCTTCTGATGAAAGTTTAAGGAACTTCAAGCTCTGTCACACTATTCTTAATTCTACTACTTCCCTAGTTATCCTGCTACATACTAATCTACACGTATTTGTCAGGTATAACGCAACGAAGCGAGCAGCCCACACCGCCAAAACCATGAAACACGGATCCGGAGCAGAAATCAGTACCGTTCGACCAGAAAGCTATTCAAAACGGTTCCTGGAGTTTATGTCCAACGCTTTTGTGTAGGGGATGGATGGATTTGTTTAAGGATCCAACTTTGAGTTAATTTGAGGGCTATTCGAGAACTTTCTTCAGGGACTCATGACCTCACATTTAGTCAAATATTATACGCCAGTTTTTAATGACCACCAGTGGATATGTTAGATCCTCCCGCCGAAAGCAAGTAGTTTCAGCTGGCAGTTTCTGTTCAACAGAGATGGCTGATTCCGTTTGTGAGGGATGCGAGTGTTCTTTTTAGGACTTTTTGATTGGATGATGAACGTCATGTGACCTGAAGCAAACTTTTCAGAGCGGTGCTCTCTCTTCACAAATTTTGAATTGAACTATTATTAAATGTCTATATTTCCTTTTTTCGATGTTATGATCTTATTAAATTCCCCAATAGTATAGTCCGACGAAATATTGAACATTTTGCTCGAATCATTAAGGTACTACAACTACTACTAGTTTTTAATCACGTATCCGGAGATTTTAACGAAAATCCATCACAATTTTATTGAAAGACCATTCGCATGCGTCCTTTGGCTGATTTTAAGATGAATTTAAACAGACCGTATTAACGATGATATAATATATAAACTTGCCATATTTTATTGGTCGGAGTCGACCGTTTTCACTCTTCTTTTTACGTTAATAAGTGTTGTGTTGTTATATGTGTGTTGCGAGGATCGTCTATAACTATTTGGTGAGTTAAGTTTTGGTCCGATCAGTAAGGTCACGTGATATCTAATATCACGTGACGTTTGAGCCAGCTCACCGCGGATATAGCTCTTTAATACTGATATAACTTGTAATTACATTGTCTGATAAATCCATGTCAGTGGTGTAATTTGTTTTTGTAAGGGCGGATTATTCCATATAATTTGCACGGTTTTCATCATGTAGCTTTGACCTGTCGTTTCCTTTTCTGTACCTCAAAGTGATTTGATAATAATGCTTGTGGTTTATGAATGCTCGTATAGATATATAACAAAAAGGCCTGTAGGACTTAGTTCATGATCATTTTGTCCAGATAAAAAACTTAAATTTTCAGCTTGGTTTACTCAATTTTTCCTTGGAAACAAGCCCAACATTCAACCATGTCATATGCTTGTTGAATTACTAAATGGCTTTAAAAATTTTATAAGTATGATACAGCATTTACATTTTTTATTTGTGTTGATTATTTATATAGTACAAGGTTGCTGATTTTTGTTGGAAAATGTCCGAGAATATGTTATAACTTTGAAAATTCAATTTTCAATTACTCAAAGCTTGTAATGATTGGACCCATTAACTTGTCATAGTTTTTACATTTTGTGTACAATCTCAAAAGTGTATTTTACTTCAGATGATGACAAACATCAAGAACCTTACAAGGTTCATGTATTTTGTAATTAGTAGCATAACCGGGTGGGCGTTTTCCAAAAAATCGAAAGCGGCCCACGCTGTAGCACTAAATATATACTGAAAACGTACGGCGCCGAGCTCCTTTTGATATTAAATTCATAATGCCCGCACGTACGCTACATAACAGCGAAATCCTCGATGGCAATATTACATACTCTTCCGGCTTGACGTTCCCCTTGATCATTGATCCACGCCACTCCGAATTACGACATATTCACCCCCTTTTGCAGAAACGCTAGACTGAATACAGTGCCGTATGCACTATGCCTACCTTCAAAAAGCATCCCCTCCCGTTGGAATTGCAACTACCGTAGACAAAGTCGAATCCAAATCATTTACTACTTCCGCTCTACTCGCTATATAGTTGAAGCTGTTATATAATCAATACTGTGCGAATATTTTGGACGGTACACGGGTACACTAGAATCAATGAGTCTTAACCATTTTTAAAAGTTGGGAAATTTCGTATTCATGAATATGGAATACTAACTAATAAAAATTGCTTATTAGTAGTATTTTGTCATTCTGATAAATGATAAATCTCCGGTTGTGATGAACGTGGTAGGTTTCAGTTTAATCCAGGGTGTGCATCTTTTGACAATTGACGGGGAACAACATTTTTGACAGTAATCGAGCAAGTATTAGCAAGATAGCGATACATCATAATTCATAATTTATACTGCATACGTGGAAGAAGATGAATTAAATGGACTTCAATACACAACAGTAAGCTCCGAACAACATCACTTTCAAACTAGACATGCAGTTCAAAGAAAGCTTCCGGCAGGGTGTAAAAGACTCACTCTCAAGTTTCACATAGCCATGTGCCTACGCGTACTGCGTGACGCGCTTGTTTCACAAGTAGGATAGACAGCCTCCGGCGGTCGCGCGCTACTGCAAGCGAGAGGGCTCTGGTTAGAGCAACTCTCAAGTCTCTACCCACTATAATGTATGAGTATGATAACTCTTTTGGCGCTCCTACTAAATTGCTCGCCCAAATTTTAAGAAAATTCTTGTGAAAAGGTCTTTTAGGTATGAAATTGATCTGACTCGGTGTATTTCTGGACGCTGGTTCCGGTCGCGCTAAATCACTACTATACAGTCGATTCTCTTATTTTCATCACTTTTAGTTTCGCATTGGATAGAGCACATGTTATTTGCGCGCGTTACGTGTGATCATATTTAATCCTGATTTCCCAATTATGTTTCTACTACACCCCGGCACGGCTTGTCAATGTGTGTGCACTGTGCATGCAGGGCACAACTAAATTGTGATCAAGTAACTCAATTATATTCGTTATAACTCCAGTTCCACGATTGACGATACAATGTAAAATAAAGTAACTCTTTATATAAATTACATAGATAGTTAATAAAACGAATAGAAGATGTGATATAAAAAAGCGACCGTTCTTGTCCCGTCACAGCGCTTGCTTGACCATTGTTAATGATTTGACCCGGCGCGCTACTTCGTAGCACTTGCCACATTTCGAGAAGAAAGCGGCGCGCGCTACTTCGAAGAAATTTAGACGAGTAACAGTTTTTATTCTGCTGCAGCAGAATAAAAACTTGTTGTTGTAGTATAGTACTAGTAGTAAAAATCTAATCCGAACGGTTTACAAATTTAACTATGTTCATAGAAAATGTTTGTATTTGTCTAAACGTTACAAAATAAAATTAAAACTATTTTTTCAAATGGACTTACTGCCTTTTCTCAGTATAATGTAAGTTTGGAATTCAATCAAGTATCAGACAAAATTTAAAAAATCATGTCTCCATGAACATCATGAACTTCGATCAATTTGTCTAATAATGCAAATGATAAAATTCCACCGTGATATGTCATGTAAGGTGTAAGGATGGTGATTAATTACTTTACACTCAATACAACATTCACGTGACTCTTCTGTTTTCAAACACGTTCTTTTGACTATTCGAAGTCCTAGCCATTTAATCTGGTTCTAATCTGGTAGAGGCTCTTACGGGCATTGTCTGGTTGAAACGTTAGGGACCCCAGATACACCTTACTAGACGTATTTTTGACCGTAGAATCTATTGAAAGTGATTTCAAGATGATTGGACTGATTGTTCTGGGGTGAAATCGCAAAAAACCGATTTTTGGGCCAAAAATAGGCCAAAAAACCATGTTTTTTGATATTTTGAGCAAGTTAATTTGGTTGGCAAGTTGGCAAGTTAATTTGGTTTGAGCAAGTTAATTTGGTTGGCCAAAAAACCATGTTTTTTGATATTTTGAGCAAGTTAATTTGGTTGGCATGTCGGCAAAACTTGCATAAAGATAGTTAAAAGACAGCCGCACAAGATTGTATAAAAATAAAACAAATCCCTCTATTTGTTCTGAGGTAAAAATCCAAAAAAGTGGTAAAAATGTTGACTTTTTTGCTTGAAGTTTGAATAATTTTTTGCAGTTGTATTAAATCAACCCAAAAATAGTCACATCGTGTTTGCCTAAATTTTTCCTTTCCGAGAAGTACCCACTTCATATACTTTATCGAAGTTTAAATATTGTCGCTCCGCAAGCGTTTTTGCCAAATTTTCGACGTGCACTACGCGCAAAAGCATTTAGTTGTTATCAATTGGCACCGTACCCGCGCGTTCATCATAAATTTCAAACAGCTATAACTCAGCGAGATTATGTCCGTTCTAGCTCATATTTTCACACCAAATAGAAAATAATGTGATCTTATTGCTGACAAAATATGAATATAATTACTTTAGTTGCCTTAGAGTAATAGACTGTCAAAGTTTAAAACGCGCATTGGTATAGCACGTGACTAATAAGGCCAAATTTATGCTTCTTAACATATTATCGATCCTTAGACATCATACTATTGTGTCCAATTAGCGGTTAGGTCTCTAAACTCGTAGCAGAAAACACGTCTTTTTGCCCGTAAGAGCCTCTACTATAACAAAAGCATATGCTGAAAACTTATGAAATTAAACCAACTTCTTTATCATTTATACTACTGTAGTACTGTCTACTAATATACGGTCAAATCACGCGATCGAGACAGTTTTTCGCCATGATATCTCACCCGGCCCTGTACTGTAAGGACGCATAATTCTTCACGCAACCATCTTCCGTTACGTAGGTCGGCAAGATTGGAAATGCACCACTGGGCCTTGCCGAGCTGGGAAGGATTGACATCGTGAATCAAACTACATTATTGCGATGAAAACTGCGAGAAAAAGCTTCACCTAACCATGTGCTTTCGGGACAGCGGGCGCGCGCAAGGGCTCTGGATAGAGCAAATAAAAAGTTGACGGATGTTACACGTCTAAATTTCTTCGAAGTAGCGCGATGGCAAGTGCTACGAAGTAGCGCGCGCCGGGCCAGATCATTAACAATGGTCAAATAAAAAACCATGCCGTAACTTAACGGGTGATACTCGTAAAATATCTGTTCCATATATTGAGGACCGTCGACGAGTCCAACTCGGCGCGCGTCCTGGTAGGTTGTAAACCTACAATGCCGTAACACGCGCACGGCTGTTACGGCGCGGCTATTTATCGCAGTTTTCATCGCAATGTAGTTTCAATCGTAATCATGTAATATGTATGTACAATATTTAAAGTCACTATTGTGACGGTACATTAGAACTAGACAGAAACAAAGTGTGAAGGGCCTGAACGGAACCCCTCGGTTTCAGTTCCTTGTTTAACACTGCCGTACAGCAAGGACATTCGCCGGGTTCTCCGGCCAAGGATGAGCACATAGCTTTCACATAGCCATGTGTATGTACGCGTACTGCGTGACGCGCAAGCGAGAGGGCTCTGGTTAGAGCAACACATAGCTCACTCCACACAATGCTCTGTCAAATGTTGCTTATATACCAAGGATCTACAGGAAATATTTCCTTGTAAGTTTTTTTAGAGGGCGATCTGTGAACAGACAACTACCTCATTCCCAACTATAGGAACTAAAATTCCTATACTATCCCAAAAAGCTACACCAAGCATGGTTTGAGATGAGAACAGCCGCGATAAATCAGCAGGCTAGTACTCTTGATTGTTGATTATATTTTTAAAGTCACTATTGTGACGTTGTAGCGCGATGCACTACTGGGTCGCGCGCGCATCAAATAATGCTTCTCGCATCAAATAATGCTTCGGTAGATCGGCGAGATGCACCACTGTGCCTCACCGAGCTGCGAAGGATTGACATCGTGAATCAAATTGTGACGGTACATTAAAACTAGACAAAAACAATATACGGCCACGGTTTTATGTCGGGGGCCCTTTTAGAAAAAAAAAATCTGGAAGATCGTCGATCGAATGAAAGAGATTTAGTTCACCTAACCATTCGATTGACGATGTCAACCCATCGAGATCGTTGCTTTGCGAAGCAAAGCAACGATCGACGATGCGAAGCAAGAATGCTAGTTTGCGCGGCGCGTCGAAGCGGCGAAGTCCTCCAACTAACCATGCGCTTTCGCGCCACTGCGGGCGCGCTTGTTTGCAAGGGCTCTCGTGGATAGGGCAAAAGATTTAACACACTTGTGACTTGAATATGTAAAGATCTCTTTGTTATTAACCACGGTACCAATTTAATCAGGTGTTAGTTGCAAGTACCGGGTAATAATCACCTCTCCCATGTCCATGGTATGTAGTACTTTATTTCCTCCAAGAAATTATTTATTTAGAGCTCCTTTTGACTTGGCTAGAACTATACATGGGAGGCCCCGGTTATATCAAGAGAGTCCGTTTCGGAAGGTTCTGAACCCACGATTGAGCGTCTTAAAACTTTTGTTTTATGGAAATTATAGTTTTGCTAGAATTCAGAGTTTCATGTTACTTCTTATTTAATTTAGTGCGGTTAATGATTATAATTCAGACTTTCAATTTTGGTGGGTTGACACAAATTGAAACGACAATATAGAACAAAATATAGAACAACTAATGGTAGT